ATGAAATGAGTCATACTCGTGATATTGTAAGTTATCGTATAATTTAGCTGTCATTATGAGTTTTACCAAGAAGCGTATCAGTAGCGGAGAATTTGTTTTTTATTTAGCGTATGGCATACTAAGAGCACATAATTAAAAGCAATATTTTTATAAAAAACGTTAAATGGAGTATTACAAACGAACATCTAATATATCGATATAATCTAAAATATTTTCGGTCTCATTCAGGAAGTCCATCTTCTTAATTTTTCTTGTGGTTCTGTCAATATATTATCATCCTCATCTCTTTACTTCTTTTGTTTGAATTCCTTTTTGCTTTTGTTCATTTTCTGGTAAAATTTTCTCATCTCTATTGGCTTACTCAGATCTTGTAGTTCTTGAGGTTGTTTGTTCATAGTTTCTCTCTTCTTTCTGCGGTGGATTTTCTTTTCTTCCTTACGTAGTTATTTATATTCCTCCTCTGCTTGTCGGGTTCTGTACCCCTGTTGCATTATTACATATACTCTGTTTTTCTCTCTATTATAATCTGATATTCTTCGTCAAAACAGTCATTCGTTCTTGTTCTTCTTTGTTTACCTGTCATGCCTAGTAGTTCTTCAGGTGGTTCTTTTAGAATGTTTTGCACCCTTTAAACTCTTCACAGAGAACAAAAGTCTTTGACTTTTGAATGTTGGGAAATATAATTTGAACCGAGGAAATTATTGCAGGCATTTCCTCAATAAATATTATTCAATAGTTTGCAGGAAGTTGAACAAACTGTAATTAATCTACTAATCGATATGTTTGACAACTATATATGGTGAAACTATAAAAATTCAGGAAATTAAGATTAATGTGAGATTAAATGTTAATGGATTAATTTGTAATTGAACATATTGGCCACTCTATAAGAATCAGACGACGAATAGAAAATTTCTTAATAGGTACATAAAATATAAAATTATATTAATAGTTTAAAACAGTCACAACACTTGAGTGAGAGAGGTGTTTTCACAGCACGAGGAGAAACCAGATAGTCTGGGTCTCCGAATAAATGAAAAAAAGAGGAAATACTTGATAGTAACCAAAAATACAAGACCAAGAGTTAGGCAGGACATTAGTATTAATGATCACCACGTCGAAGTAGTAAAGGAGTTTAAATACCTGGGGGTATATCCATGGATAATCACAGCCATCAACCACATAGAAAAAGAGGTCTCAGCAAAGGTAGCTGCGAAAAATAGAGCATTTCAACTGCTCCCTTTCAACATTATTAAGATCGAAGATGGAAAAAAAAATCTAAATTAACACTGTACAAATCGATTATTCGCCCAATTATTACATATAGCAGTAAAACATGAACTCTCAACCTAGCCCAATAGCTAACCCAATAAGCTTTTAGTATTGAAAGAAAGACAGAAAGACAGATAGAAAGAAAGACGCCGAATGCTGAATTGATGACTCTGTATGGAACTGACAACATAGGCATATCAAGACAAACAGTGTTTTTTGAAAGACCAGATGGTAGAAGATAAGTAGGCCGACCGAGAAAAAGATGGAAGGATGACGTTGAAGCCGATTTATCCAGAATTGGGATACAACAATGGGAAATAGAAGCGCAAGATCGTAGAGGATGGAGGACCCCGAAGAAGAAAATATCTATTATTGGGTGCCTTTTTATATTTACTCCTTTTGGAAGAAACTTTGTAGCATTCAACATAGTTGACTCTATTTGTTCGGGTTTTATAATATCTATGAAGTGTCCAAGATGTCCATGGTTGTAATGAAGGTTGAATATTTTTTCGTAGGTGTTCGTTTATTCTCTTGCATATTCTATTGCACGTTCATAGGCTGCTTCTACTTTTAGTAGTATGTAGTCTTTTTCTAATGTGTCAGCTCAATATATTATATATCACCAAGACCTTCAGAAATATCCTTGGTTCCGTTTATAAGTGCTTCTCGAAACCTATTTAAATGTCCATTTATTATTTCTTTTGTAGAATTAATCTAAGGTATAGTTTGTAACATCATCTTCGTCTGATGGTTTGAATTTTTTATTTTTTCTGATTTTCGTCCAAAAAATCGATGTCCCTGTATACTTCATCATTTACTCCAAATGATGTAAGGACTGTTCCTAGAAGTCCCCTTTTCAGCCTTCTTCCAACTTTCAGATCCAATGCTCTACTTATCCAGCTCGAAGGACCAATGGACAATTCTCGAATGTAATTATATTTGTGAATTGTTTCTAATGCCCTGTGTTCGATTCTTCTTAATCGATGATGATAGTTAATGGACTAATTTGTGATTGAACAACTAACCTTAATGCCAATAAATAAGCTGTAGTGTCCAAGTGATTATTAAAAAAAATGTAAATAAGTTTTTCTAATATTAATTTTATAAATGGACCCTCATGTGTAATCGATTTATCATTAAACAATGTAAAAATCTATATAAAAGAATTTTAGAAGAAACCTGCGAAATTATAACTTCCAAAACATATCAATTTGAGGCACCCTGTACAAACATGAGCAAAATAACTTTCAGTGCGACATTTCTCATATCTGGTTAATACTATATGATAGAAAATATCTAAAAAATACGGCATACTAACACAACTGTAAATCCAATAAATCCAATATTTGTATTGATGCAAAATATAAACAGCACCTGTGCCTCGAGGGATTCAAACAAAAATATGGCACAAATATTCATTTTAAATTTTTATCGTAAACATTTTTCATTTTTTACAGTGTTATTTGCCTCTGGGTGCTTGAAATTTTGTGATAACAAATTTTAGTACACATTTTTATAACATAATCCGTCTATTCTATAACGTTATAGGTCTACCATTCTTTTTCAAGTTCCGCTCCTATTGGAGATTGGAAATCATTGTCGGTTACGCGGCTGAAGAGTTCAATTGAACTGCATTTAAACCATTCACGGATATTGATTCTGACTTTGATTTTGCCTTACATTATATTCTTTAATAATTCGATTTCTTCACCTCTTATGATGAGCCCCAAGTATTACAACTTTCTGATCCTTACGAAATTTAGTTTTCCTTGCTGGCCTTTGGCTTAAATCGCATCCTTGGTGTTAAAGTTTTTCAAAATTGAAGTGATGTCACCATTACTTTGACTTACAATAGCCACAAGTAGTTGTTTCTTGTAGTGTTCCTTGAGAAGTTTAATAACGTTTTAATCAATGGGCTGAATTAATGCAGTAGTATTTTTCAGTAAGTATATTGCCTCGATATGTCCATTGGCAGTTTCGATTTTAATTCGTCCGTATTAGGATGTCCTGGAGCATTGCCTAACAAGAGGGGGGCTTTCATTGGCAGTTACTTTTTTCTTAGCTCATCTTTAACTTGTGGGACACAGCTGTTCTTGTACCAATCCATAAAAACTTCTTTTGTCACCCAGGCATGGCTTTGCCACATGTACGTGATTGGTAGCATCTCAATTTTAACATTTTTGAAGACACGAGGTTTTTTGGACTTACCCACGCTTAGCAATTTTAATTTGTGGGATCCTCATGCATTCGCGCATACCATAAGAGTGAAACGTTCTCTCTGAAGTTTTCTACCAAAAACTTTTTTCGTCTGAAGTGACAAAAGTATTGGAAGTTGCCTCCAGTTAAGACCGGTTTTCAACAGCGTTATAAAGTTTTTCAGGAATTAAGTCCAATTCAGTGATCTTTTTACTCAAATTTTGAATAAATTCAAATATCTCAGACTTATCTGTACTCATTTTCTCTTCACTCATCTGCAAAAATCGTTTTTTTGAAGTTTTCAAACTAACCTTGGCTAGCACGAAAGTCAGTTTTGTTTGTTAATTCCTGATAAAAAAACTAAACTTTATTTTTTTCTGAGCTTTCACCATATTATAGTTGGAGTTTCACTACACTCACATTTCTTAGTAATATCCTATTTATCTTTTAGAGTCAGCGTTTTGTGCTTTCGTTTTGAACTTGAGCTCGGTATTGAACTGAACTTTCTAAACGAATTGAATAAAAGTTTGGCACTACGTATTACTGTATCTAAAAAGCAATGAAGCATCAGAAAGAACGTACAATAATAACTCAATTTTAACACTATTTAAAGGATAATCTTAACACTATTTAAAAGATATTGTCACAATATTGACTGGGCGATACAAATGGGAGTTGGAACTTCCACTGAAAATCTATAATCGGTTATATGTATAATTGTTAAACAGAATGGTCATTTGTAAATCTTAGAAGAGTAAGGCGCGACTTAGCATATGATACGGATCATTTCTTAATGGTAGCTAAAACAAATTTCCCCTACAAACACTATATAGAATGAGTAGATCAAGCTGAGAAAAACGGAACCCCAATAAATATCATCAAATATACCATCGATAGTTTAAGAAATGAATCTACTACTCCTACACCAGGTGGGGCTAGCCACGAAATAAAATAAAATAAAAGAAAAATCGCCGAATACAATGTACCAAAATCTAAATATATGTATACACGTAGCGGCACATGACGCTCTTGAGGTAAAAGTATTATCTACACTACAAGATACAGAAACGAAATATCATGGTGGAATAAAGATTTAGGAAATTGCGGATGAAAAGAAAGCTGCTTATGGGAAATGACTAAGTACATAAAACATGCAGAGAAGATAAAAGTGCACACAAAAATAGATGCAATGAAATCAATTTAGAAGCAGGTAACGCAAAGGCAAATCAAGCATCGAAGGTTATTAAGGGAATGCGGAAACAACATAAAGACACTTCGGAAATGAACCTCATTGCGATGGAAAAGTGGAAAATTTAAGGCAAAAACCTTAAGGGAAATTATAATAGACTTTTTGAATGACTATAAAAGACATTCAACCAACCTAACATAAAGTGAAAGAGTTATAACAGACTCAGGAGATGTAACTAAAGTCCTTCATCAATAAAAAATGGAAAAGCACCGGGATTGGGAAGTATACCAATACCACTTTGCAATAAGACTGCCGTGTCTCTTTCTGTACACTTTTATCTATCCTACACGTTTTGTGTACTTAGCAATTTCCCATAAGCAGCTTTCTTTTCATCTACAATTTTTCCTAAATCTTTATTCCACCATGTTGTCTTGTTTTTGTATTTTACAGAGAATACTTTTACCCCAAGAGGTTCATTTGCCGCTGCTTGTATACATGTATTTAGATTTTCGTACATTGTATTCGGCGATTCTTCTCTTATTCTATTTAATTTCGAGGCTAGACTCATATGATAAGTGAGTTCTAGAGGCAATTCTCAAATTATCGATGTCTTTATATTGAAACCATCCATTAAAAAATTTCAGCGCCATTATGTTGTTCAAATAGGTCGATGAGTCTTTCCCCATTGTTATTTACAATTTCTTTTTCATAGTCTTTTTCATACTCTGCCGTTTGCTGTGCGATTCACAACTATTTAAGTTTAGAAAAACTCTTGTCTGTATTGAATTATGAGATGCAAATTGCTATTTACTAGTTTTGGCCCAGCCCAGTTATTTTAGTTCCTTGGTACCAACCATAAGTGAGAGGCGTTCCCCTTTCCACTATCTGAGCAGGCTCTCGAGAGGCGAGAAACACCCTCTCGAGCATAGTGTTATTAGTATTAATAAAGAAAACTTCCATTAACAGATAAATAAAGCTTTGTTAGTACCAAGGAAGTTTTCGTACAGCGAACTCAATGACAAATCTTATTTTCTTACTGAACAAATCAATAAAATGACTAAACATGATAAATAATGATATACACTCATTGATTGCATGATTAATAGGAAACATTTAAATATATTCATTATTAATGTCCGAGAAACCGAACTGATACTTATACGTAACTAATTAAATCAAGGTACAATTCACTTGAGCATCAAAAACTCCATCGTCGATTCCATCAAATACATTCGCCCTCCCTGCGTATGACAGCCCGAAATCTGCCGAAATATTGACACGCAAACAAAGTGGTTCCACTTGAACACTGACCTCTCTCCCAACGTTTTTCAAACAAACAATTAACACAGTATCCACATCCGAGAGAGCAGCGCACGCATCCAGACGAAAACTCCAGTTTCCAGAGTTGTCTCCCACATTTCATCATTCAGTCGGTGTCCCGCCGCCGTTCAAGATTGGTTGCAGCACTTCCAGGCGCTCCGATCGGGACCGCTTGCGATTCGACGACGAAATAAACTCTCGTGGTTTTTTAAAGTGGGTTTTAATTTGGTTGTGTGTAATTGGGAGCTGTGACAACTACTGAAAGGTTCTTACTATTGGTTATACTTTACTCTAAAGTTGGAAAAATGTCTTAACTTTCACTTGTTTTTGTTTTATACTTAAAAGAAAACCTTGTTCAAAATTTTAAAACTTCTCTATAATTTAGTAGCTGCTTTTAACTGTCTATGTAATTATCAAAATTGATTATAAAATTGACATTTAAAAGCATAAAAATGGACTTTTAATACATCAATTATTATCAATTATACTGTCAATAAAACATATAATAGTTTCACAGAAAATTAACTACTTGTAGCTATATGGCAAAATTATTTAGCAAAATGACATTTTACCAAATTAGCATGTCACTTTACTATACAGTAATCATACCATCAATAAAGCCTAAGTTGACAGAAAATTGTTTATTTAAGTATTGCAAAAATTGTCATCTTATTCACACTTGTAGGCAAAATTAGAGAAACCCAATAAAAAAAAAGACAAATAAGATCCACAACATTTATTTTGGGTTTGTTGTGCTTCTATAAAGAATTATACAGGGCGTTTCAAAAAGTTATGTCATAATTTAAATTACACATTACGGGGACAAAAATAAGTTGATTAAATCCATTTTATCTTAGTACAAAAATGTACACAAAAAAAGTTACAGTCCTTTGAAGTTGCAAAATAAAAATTGTTTTTTTTTGCATTATATCCTAAACTACTTGACAGCATTTTTCATACAAAAGAAACAACAAAATCTAAGCGCACAGAAAAATTTTAAGGGAGTATGCAGCTCTAAATCCCCCCAAACTTTTGAGTACGTTTAAATCAAATACATTTTGTGGTATTATTAGTTTAACACATTATTTTTAAAACTTTTTTGCCTCCTTCACTTTTTTCAAAAACCAGTTTTTATTGAATTACGGCCCTTTTCATTAACCTTTAAAAAATTACGTGCAACTAAATAAGTGGCTTAGATGAATTAACGAGTAAAAAAATGTCTATAACCTTTATAAATATGATATTACAATAAATGTTCAAGATGACCCCTATTTTATTCCATACATATTCGGTATCGTTTTAAAAAGGAAAACCGAATGCGCTGAAAAATCATATTTTTCTGACGAAACTGATTTGCAGCTTCAATTATTCTAACCCTCAATTGTTGTTCGTGTCTTATTGTTACAAAATACACTTTCTCTTTTATAAACCACCGAAAGCAAAAGTCCATGGGGTTAAGACCTGGACTTCTGGGTGGCCAAGAAATATGTGCGTCACGAAACCTTCTAATTCACCGACCAAGATACTGCCTGCAAAGGTATTCCCGGACTTCATTACTGTAATGTGGTGGAGCGCCATCTTGTAGAAACCATATATTTTGCCTTATTGCAATATTCACTTCTTCCAAATACTCTCGTAAATCGTTTGCCAAGAACTGCAAATAATTATCACTATTTAAAGTGTTGGGAAGAAATACTGGCCTATTAGATTCTTATCCACAATTCTTGCCCAAACATTAAATTTGAAAAGTCCTTTGGTGATGAGTCATTCTTTTGGAGTGAGGACTTTTGTCGGCCTAAATGTGCTCGTTATGGTTGTTTGTTATTCTATTTCTACTGAAGGTAGCCTCGTCGGCAAACAAAATATTTCTAATAAAATTAACATTTCGAGTGTTTTCTATTAACAACTAATCGCAAAATCCAATCCTTTTAGTATAATCGTCAAACAATAACTCTTGAACCGTTGTTAAGTGATAGGGTTTAAGCAGCTGATCCTTCAAACGCCTCCAAACCCTTATGTGAGGAACATTATTTAGTTCAGCAGCTATTGCCCTTGTACTTGTTCCAGGGACTTCTTCAATGATTTCTAAAATGTCTTCTTCAGTTGCATCCATTATTGGACGACCACTATTACCAGCAATTTGCTGTTGGAATGTACACGTTTCCCGTAAAAGACGATCAATGTTCAGAAATAATAGGCAATCGGGTGTATTTCGATTGGGGTATTTTACTGCATAATGCCTCGTGGCTGCTGCACTATTTTCTTGTCATTCGCCTACAATATTCCCGATAGTTTATTGCAATCATAATTTAATCTGATCCAACTTACCCAAAATTAAATGTATATCTGCCATTTCCTGAAATGTGTAGACCATTGTTACCTTTTTGAAACACCCTATATAAATGAGTAAAATTAACATTGGTAAACAGATTTAATAAAAAATAATAAATTAGTGAAAATACACTAACATAATACTTACAAGAAACTAGAATTGAATTATAAATTTTAGAGGAACACTAACATCTTAATCTTCTCATTGTGCATCAACTGAACAGCACTTTACTGATTTGTTTCTGATATGTGACACACTAAGTATTTATGTTAACACTTCTTGCTATTAAAAATACCTATAATCCTTCTGACATTTTGTTAAGTAGGCGTCAATAAAACTTTGTCGAATTAAATCTCATTTGTTTGCCGGTTAAATCATATTTGAGATCTCGCAAGTTAGCTGGTATCTGATTAGGATCCCTGTTGATCCCTATGTGCTCTATACTAAACGTTTTGTAATGAAATTACCCAGACCGTTGTTGAACTTCCACCACAAAACTCTTTTTCAACAATAGATCATCTACACGTTTTAAAGAATCTATTTCTTGTAGCAAATAAGTGACCTCCCCATACAAGTCAATATATTTTAAATTTTCGCAAGGGGCAAGTGCGATCTTGTTATAGCCGTAGTTGTCTTCTTTTTTTTTAGATTTGCGTATAGCAGTCACTCAGCTTAGTTCCTTATCAGCTGAACCCTATTTTGAACTTAGAAATCGAAGTGCGATTTATTAAAACTATATTTATGTATTCATCCACTTAAATAAGTCAATCGCTTGATAAGTATAATCTATGTTCCATCAAATATGAACATACAAATGATGCTGAACGATTTGGTCCTTCGATTTCGGAAGTTATCTTGAAAAATCGTTTTGGCTAATTCTACATTTAATTTATATGGGATAATATAGGAGTTAAAGATATCTACCAGCTTGCTCTGTTAATTCTCTAAAGAATTCAAAGCAATATTTGGAAATATTTTATGGAAACAAACAGGAGTTTTAGCAGTGATATATTCTTTCTTCTCCTTTTGGCATCATAACCCTGGATGGGTCTTTGCCTGTCTGGCTATGTCCTTCCATTCAAATCTCTCTTGTGCCCTTCTTCTCCATTGTCTTATGTTCATTGTTTTCAGGTCGTCTTCCACGTCATCCAACCATCTCGTTATGGGCCTTCCTATGGGCTTCCATTGTAACATTTTCTTTGTTGTTTTTGCATCGTTTTGTCTCTGCACATGTCCCAGCCATGACAGTATTTGACAGTCAGTGATATATGCCACCGGATAAATAATGGGTCTGTTGCTTCCCTCTGATATCAAATCGACAATCAACAGAGTGCCAGTAGCAGATAAAAACCTTCTAAGGCTACCAAATATTATGTAGTAATATTTGTGCATTTGAAGGAAGACATTACGAAAAAACTTAAAATGTAGTCACCAGCGAGTATTGTGTGCTTGCAGACGTCAAAATATTGCTTAAAATAATAAGTATTATGGGTCTAAAAATATAGAAAAATGATGTTGAATTAGCAGAAAAGCGTTCGAATTAGTATTTTCTAGAAAGAAACTATGTTGATGAATTAGTTCATCAAATTTCGTTTGAAATTCCTTATGTTTTCGGCTATTACAGTAGCGTTTTGTATCCTATATTAGAAACATAAGTTATTTGTGGCTTTATAAGTACTCCCTTTTTTTCTGTAATGACAATGCCCAGAACTCCCAAAGATGCACAGTGTCATCACACATGCTGCATCCCCTTGTTTTTTGACTAGTTTTAATATTTACAGGGATAGTCGCGTTTCTTCCAGGGAAATAAATATCGAGGAATAGAAAATAGAAAATATCTGAAAAATGTGTCTCTTAATAACAAGCTGAAGGGTATATTGGACACAGTTTTAAAGAAAAACACAACATAAACGAGA